TCTGATACATGTAGAGTTAATAGTTCTTTTTTAAGCTGGTTTCAGACCCGACGTGTGCTGTGTTCTATATACTTTACTTACATTTGTTGGAAGGATTCGGCATGAAATCTGAAATGTCGTATTAAAAGAGCAACCAAAGGCAGGAGATATCTGTGAATACGCAGGTTTTGAGTGACATACCTTTGAGGGATCAGAATAGGAATAAATGACACAACACATTTATTATCCTGCGACATACATATAAATAACAGCTTCAAAGTAGCTACAATCAGTGAACAAAAAAACCAATATGATTATTTATTATGTTAAATATAATATCATTATCTGTAACATTGAGACTTTTTAGCTTAAAACACAAAGCCGTATTTTAAAAATGTATTTAACTGAATGTTTTGTTTATGGCTGTTGATAAGCGCAAACGTACACAATGAGCTATCTATGCTCTGCCGACTAGGGGTATCGAAACCTCATTTTTTAGGGTCGTAAGGCTGCAGACTTACCACTAAGACAATGGGGGTTATTTAATTGAAAAAAAAATCAGTCTTAATAGCGTTGTCCCAGGCCAACCAAAAAAAATCATAGTCACTCATATTTAAAATTTTAACGGCTCACTTCTTGCTGTTTCATTAAAAAAAAAAATAGTAGAGAATCAGCCTCTGATGTAATCCTACCGCGGTAGTCTTACTTACAGACACTCTATATGTGCACGAGACCATCGTTGAGAAAATTCAATGCAGGTCAATACAGTGACAAGAGTTTCGCACGTGCTCTAGGAGTGAAGACGTTGTCCTAACAGCGTGTAGCTTTCTCAGCCTTAATAGTTTTTTGAGAAGTAAATATTTTCTGTTTTCCAGCAAGAATAGTAATTTAGTTAGACCCTATTCTTTCTTTACGGTTCTTTCATCAATAGTATTGTAACTAATTTTTACTATTATTTATTTGCAATGTTATTAAAAAGATCATTTCACACTGTTAGTTTAGTTTATGGATTTAGAACTAACGTAAATCCACTAGGGTAGCCGAACCAAGTATAACTTTTACAATAGTGAGCTAGTTTTTACTTGGACATCGGCCTAAACAAGTGATAATTTTACCACAATGCTGGTTAGAATATCAATATATCTATGTTTATTATACCTAATTAAATTTTATGTTTCTTATTTCATTATAGTGGTTATTCTGCATCGTTAGTATATGGATTTAGAAGTAACCTAAGACTCTGGGGTTGACCTCTTAAGTTATTATTAGGCTTACGACCAAACATGTTAACAATAACATTAACCAACTAACGGAACAATACATGCTATAAGTAATCATATAGTGTGAATATTATAATTAGTTAGATATGTTCATTACTAAGAACATATTTTTAGTTCTGTGTAGATAGCTTTCTTTGATCAGAATATATTAGCTTGATAATAAAAAGAGTGTTAGATAAAATAAATAAATAAAAATGAACAAAAACAATATAAAAGATCCCCTCTATCACTGTTGGAGAAAGTTAACTAGTTTAAGAAGTATAAATGTTCCGAAATTAATGTTCATAAGCCTAGTTCTTGATTAAAGTACACACGCTAAAATTGATTAAATGTTGGTAACTGAACAAACTCGCATTCGAGCACTAATTCATTCAAGTATGTCCAAGTATGTGGCGAAGCTGCTGTGGACACGTTATACATGAACTAATCTAGACAAGTTCGTGAAAGGTTAACTACACCACCTGATGACCGCTATCTTCACAGCATGGCCGATATTGTTCTGGGTAGTCAATAAATCACAAATATGACCTTTAGAGAAGCTGGTTGTTATAAAATCAATCACAAAACCATTCATTATTCAAACAATTCGTTCAGTACCTAATTCAATCATCGTCTCATTTAAACCGTCCACGCTCATACTGACGTAGAGCCCAAAAGGCTATCTACTCTTGCTAGTCATATATTAACCCTCCTACTTGGTCGACTGTGTAGAATTTTAACTAACCTACCATTCATGAATATAGTCACCCAGCAAAAATAAATAACAATTATTTTACAGCACCCATTTAAGATGCAAACCAATTCGAAAACTTAAAAATCGTTTTAACATCCAGTCTGTGAGTCAATGAGATCAAATTCTGGGGATGGGTAGGCAACAAAAGATTGTCGCTGTTTTTGGTATTCAAGTTAGAGCCCCCCCAAAAAAAGAACTCCGATAAAGGGATTTGTCTGCTAACCTAAAAAACAACAACAAAAAGCACCTTACTTTCTAGAGAACTCACCTCTCGATAGTGTTCGGCTACAAAGATGCGGAGTTTAAGGAATTGGCCGAACTGTGTTCCTTTTGCAAAAGGTAGAAGTGTTCATGTTAGCATACCGTGATTGGTTAAATAAAAAGTGCTTATGAATATTAGATCTTGATTGGTTTAAAACAGAGATAAAGCCATTAATTGGTCTATATTTCTTTATGTGGCCTGCCGGTGCTACTGCTACTGCTACTATTGTCCCTGCTACTGCTCTTGTCGTTTTTCTACAACTACTGTTGCTACTTCTAATGCTACCTAATCATTCACAAACAAAAAATGGCTTTATACAGATGAGGAACCAGATGTTGTTGTATTGCGCAACATGTGCCACGTTTAGTGTGAGATCTTGGATGGGTTAAGGGTTATCCTCCCTCATATAGCATGGAAACTAGTTCACAGGAGGGGGGGGAGTAATAAAATTCCAGATATTGCATTCATAATTAAAAAGAAAGTACTGGAAAGCTTTATTTGGGAATCAACTTACCAAACTGGTTTCGCTGACTCGAAGAATGGCTGTTAATAAATCAACTCGTCTAAAATGTCATATAACCAGATATTTATCTTAAGTAAAATGTATAATAACACACTGTTCTATCGATATTCTGTACATTTTCTGAAGAAGTGGAAATGTAAACGGAGCAGAATTCGAATCCGCACTTCACTTAACTGACAAGTGTTCTAATCAATTAATATGTTGTCTAGAACACCGCAAGCCTCCGTCTCTCTTTTTTTATTAAAATAGAAAGCATGAGCATTCCAAAACCTCGAATCATTGATGTCAAGTATTTATGTGAAAAATATAGTTATTCAATAACCATATTACAAAACACTGGTTTCAAAGAAACATTATCAATACTTCTCCACTAATTCACCAAAGTTTCAAAGTGGATAAAAATTGCCTAAATAGAGGAAAAAAACTTATTTTGTTACTCAATATCAAGCTACAAGTATAGGGCTGGGTTCCATTAAGGGCTTGTGTCCTGTAACGATCAATCTGAGGTTTGTTTGTTTGTTATGAATTTCGCGCAAGGCTACACGAGGACTATCTGCACTAGCCGTCCCTGATTTAGCAGTGTAAGACTAGAGGGAAGGCAGCTAGTCATCGCCACCAACCGCCAACACTTGGGGTACTCTTTTACCAACGAATAGTGAGATTGACCTTCACATTATAACACCCCCACGGCTGAAAGGGCGAGCATGTTTGGTGTGATGGAGATTCAAACCCGCGATCCGCAGATTGTGAGTCGAGCGCCCTAACCACCTGGCCATGCTGGGCCTCTCAGGTTTGTAAGCAGTCAATGTTTCCTCTTTTTTTATGGGAATACATTTTAGAGTTTTGTGAGTTTTGTTTTTGCTTTGTTTTGGTGATAATTTCATGTTACTTTCTTTAGTGTTATTACACGTATGCTGTTACATGTGAATTCTCCTACTATTCTGAACATGTGTTGTACTAAAACTAATACATTCTTGGTAAATTTGATTTCAGATGGCCATAAACCGATCTATCAATCTGCGCACTGTGCAAAAAACAAGTTTTGAAAACTGTCTTACCCTGGGTGTCTAATGTCCGGTAAGGAGCGGTTGAGGGCAATGTAATCACTGACCAGAGCGTTAAACCCGTTGACTTTGTAAAGTTGATCCTTCTGTTGTTCCATGCCAGGTGGCAGGTAGAACGCTATTCCTTGTTCTCCTGGTCCCTTCCTTGTATCATCTTCAGCTATTTGGGTGTAATTGTGCCAGTCTATTTTCAAGGGGTTGTTTTCCTTCTACGAAATTTTAGATCTTATAAGTTTATACAATGAAACTTACATTCTGCCATTAATTTTACATAGTGTAGTCACACAAATACAATACCACCCAAGTACACTTAGGCACCTTCATATCACCTTAGTGAACTCAAGCGTCTGGTTTCACAGTTATAAACGTAAAAACAAAGTGTTTTTAAAAGGTCTTTATGTTCTACAGATTTCTAGAAAATGGGTTTAAGAAATCGCCATTTTACTCAATAAGATTGTTTATACTAGTAATAACAGAATAGATTCCGATTATCGCTTATGATTTTGTGCGTTTGGAATATCGAAGACCAATGCATGCACTAATAATAAATGGTTATTTCAAATTCGAGAAAAATATGGCAAAATATTATTACTAACTGAAAATAACGAAACCAATGAAACTGCAATAAAGCAATCTTAGCAAACGTTATTGAATATACTTTTACCACAAGCTACTTTATGGTAGTACAGCCTCTAAATGAATATATTTATTGTATTATAAAATGGCGGTAGAAACCACGATACGCTTACAAAATGACATAAGAAAAAATAAACGGTTTAAAACATTTTTGTCCATCTTTATACACTTTTACCGTAAAAATAGAAAATAACGAAAACGTTTTGTTCGTCAATGCATTATTCATATAAACAAAGAAATAAATATATATATTTTAAAAGGAATGTCTAAAAATAAAAATAATTAAATAAGTATATTCTTAGAAAATAGTGAACGTTTATTGTTTTTGCCCCAAATTTTAATGTTATAAACCCTCAAGCTTACAACTGGAAGACTTCTGAGTTAATGTTGCAAAAAAACATATTTATGAATGTATGATAAAACGAACCGTTGTAAATGTGTATCAAAGTCATAAAAACGACAAAAATACAATTTTTACTTCATTGATTTAAATTATACGATAATTGAAATACTGCATACAGATTGATACAAAATACGAATTAAAATCATATTTTACAGATAAAACGTTAGAAAACTGGTCAATATGTCCTTGCTCTAGGGACAAATATATAAATTATAAAGACTATAAATCCTGTTAAAAACAAGATAAAACAACGTATGAAAGATATATAGTTAATGCTGAAACTAGGCCGTGATAACAGAGAAAACCAATGATAACAATAACGGATCAGCATAAATTCGTACTCACTAAAGTGCAGGCTCCTGAGTATAAACTACATTGTGGTAACAAAGAAAACCAATAATAATAATAAAAACGGATCAGCATAAATTCGTCATCAGTAAAGTACATACTCTCGAGTACAAACTACATTGTGGTAACAAAGAAAACCAATAATAATACTAACGGATCAGCATAAATTCGTCTTCAGAAAAAATACAGACTCTCGAATACAAACTACGTTGTGGTAGCAAAGAAAACCAGTTATAATAATAACGGATCAGCATAAATTCGTCCTCAGTAAAGTACAGACTCTCGAGTACAAACTACATTGTGGTAACAAAGAAAACCAATAATAATAATAACGGATCAGCATAAATTCGTCCTCAGTAAAGTACAGACTCTCGAGTACAAACTACATTGTGGTAACAAAGAAAACCAATAATAATAATAACGGATCAGCATAAATTCGTCCTCAGTAAAGTACAGGCTCCTTAGTATTATTTTGGAACAGTTTATCCATCCTGATGAAAAGCTGTTATCACGTCTACGGCGATTTAAGAAGTTATAAAAATATAGTAAAACAAGCACACAGACCCGATATCTGTGGATATTGTGACAAAAGAAGCAATTTGCTTCACGTAACTAATTGAGTTTTCTACAAATATAAAAACCAAGTGGATTAGGTTTCACGAGTACCCCTAAAGGTTCAGAATTATTCGCTTGTTCCGAGCATTGTATAGAAAATAACTTCGATTCGTTATTTTTATTGTACAGTGTGAATTTTATAAAAAAGGTTTTGTAATCTAGTTTGTTTATTTTTTTGCGGTTCGGTATATAAAATAAAATATACATTAGTTTTTAATGTTTGGAAACCATCAAGAAGATGCTCCATGACTTTTGTCTTGCCCGTCACTGCGCTAGCCTTTAACATTCATTCAGAAATTTCAGATACGTTAAATAATCATTAATTACGTCATGCAAGAAAGCAGTACCCTTACAGTAAGGTCAACAAAATATTGTTTTCAGATTCTAACTGTTTCAGTCACTTGTATCAAAATTTTTGTGAAGTATATCTTGGCTAGGATAAGTAACAAAATTATTCATATTTAGAAAAAAATGTATATACAGTTTACATTATAATTTTTTGCTTCTCGTTCAAGATAAGAAAATCATTACAAATAATAAAACTCTGAGAAGACTATAATAATTATTCATTCTAAAACCAATTCTGTAGCTAACTTTAAAAAAATACCAACATTTCTGTGGCTGCACAGTTCAACATCACTAGGATAAATGGCAAATAACGGTTATTATTGAATGCATGGCAAATCATAAAGTAAACATTGTTCTACCTAACACTAGCACGTGATATGTGAAGTACGAGAACGTGTCTAACAATGCAATTAATAAACGTCTGTTTTAACGCAAAGCTACATATTAATTATCTGCACTGCTCTGTCTACCAAGGGAAATCGAGCCAAGGATTTTAGCGATGTAAGTCTCTTAACATACCGCTGACCAACTTGGATATGCAATTGAAAAGAAATTGGCAGTTAGTATTGGCAAATTAATTAATGAAAGAAGTACTATATCACTAAAAACACAAATCGAAATACAATAAAATAAAGTAGTTTTCTGTCAAAAATGTGTCAGATGAAACACATAAGATCAAATAGATTGCAAAAAATTAATCGTAAAATAATAAGTATGAAAACAATTTTGTGAGAAGAGAAAATTCAAACTATAAACTGGTAACATCTATTCAAAATTAATGTTTAATGACCGGAAACCACCCTTTTGGATGATGGAATTTAACTTTATTAAACGGTTGTTTAATAAAGCTGTTGTTTAACTAAAGCTCTAGGAAAACTTTCTTTTTATTTCGTGAATGGTCTAAAGATGCTTTTATCTATCGGTTTATTAGCCGACAAGTAGATATTATGTAGTTTAGCAGCTGTATGCTCTGCTAGTCGAAAACTTTCGAATGGTCCTGATGTCAAAGTCCTCTTACGTTCACTTATTCGATTAGCAAGATTGCGTCCTGTTCCACCGACACATATACCAGAAAAATCTGAACATGACAAGTGGTATACAAGCCCAGATCTTTAGTTTGGGATCTTTAACACGTGTAAGTACGTTGCAAAGATTTATATGGGATTTGGAAACTATTCTGATGTTCAAGAGTGTAAGTATGCTTTTAATCGCTTCCAATATCCCGTTCATATATGAAATAGTTATTATGTATGAACCTTCGATTCTTGCTATGCTTTAATTTTGTCTAATTGTAATTTTTTTTCTATAGTGCCCCCCCAGTGGCACAGCGGTATATTTGCGGACTTATACTTTTAGAATCAGTGTTTCAATACCCATGGTGAGCAGAGCACAGATAGCCCTTTGTGTAGCTTTGTGCTCAATAACAAACAATAACATCTTCCATAGTATTTTTGATCAAGCTTATTGAGTTTTAGTTTTGACTGAGGACTGACTTAATATTTGCTTACTGTTTTCTAAACGATATTTCGTCGTAGTAAATTCGAAAATCTCTTGTATTCAATGTGTGTTTATTGAGCATTTCTTAACCGATAGCGGATGGTAGAATATAAAGTTTAATGATTTAGTTGTATAGGCAGATTTAGTGTTTACGTTGGTGCTTAGTTTTCTGTAAGCAGAATGTGTAACCATGACATCTCTGATAGTAGGTTATTTTTGTGTTAAGGTTTCACATTGAAAATGTGCAGTTGGCTTCTGGTTACTTAGTGTTGACATAACTCACATATCTTTTTCTAAACATGGTGTGGATGCATGTAGTTAACAAGGATATCATTTCTAAATTATTTCATTAGGATAGGGACTATAACAGGTGAACTCAATGCGGCACCAAAGTTCTGTCGGTAGAATGAATTGTTACATACAAATTAAGCAGTTTTTAGACATAATGCTTATAAGGCCTGACAAATGGCATTCACTGTAGGCATTCCTCTGTTTCTTAAGCTGACATTATTCTGAAGGCATGCTTTTACGAGAGCTTTCGTAAAACATAAACAAAGCATCAACATCATAGGAAACCGACTATTCTTCCTAACACACTGGTAGGAAACCAGGAATTTCTCCTGACTATCTGATAAGAAACCAGGGATTACACCTGACTATCTGACAGAAAAGCAAGGACGCTTCCTGACTCACTGGCAGGAAACTCGGCATTCTACTTGATGATCTAATAAGAAACCAAGAATTTCTCCTCACCATCTGATAGAAACCAGGACTTCCACCTGACTTACTGAGAAAAAGATAACACGGTCTGTACAAATCCTATTGTATTAGACAAGGTGTCCATTTATGCCAACCAAAGGAGAAGTTACGTCGTTATTGACCTTTGAGAGGTGGTATGTGGCTGAACCTACACATGAAAGATGGGTCTAAGAGGAATCTCTTGTTTATGTAACTTAGGAACAGCGTAAAATCTACTTAGTGCACTAAAACCAAACTAGTATTTTGTAGTTTGTAGGTTTGCTCGTTTTGCACTTCTCATATTATTTAATTTGCCAATATTAACTGCTAATTTATATTGTTTATCAACTGCACGTGTCAGTGTAATACAGAAAAGTGTTTACTTTTTGCTCTATTTGCCCTGATGTTGGTGAACTGTAGAGTCACCGTAACATTAATAAAAAAATAGATTATGATAAATTTTGTAATAACCGACCGATCAATATTCATAAGTATATTAAAACTCTGAGGAGTTCAGAAAAACATACTATCAGCTTTCGAAAACACTTACTTGTATGGGCTTTAAAATATGTTATCACATAACAAGCCACCGGTTTCAGTGAAAAAATGTATTTGAGGATTGAC